ATTCACAACCAACTATGAGGATGGTACAGGACCAGATAGCATTTCATTCTGTTGTGTGTGGGATTGCCATGAGTTGAAGACCAACTTGAAGGTAGGTAACAACAACAACAACAATAGATAGTAATTTTAATATCATTGTATAGGAAAGGAATCACACACAGCACCCTTTTCAAGAAAAAAATATATGTATGTATATACATATACAGGTGCTCTGGTGGTGCAGTGGTTAAAGAATTTGTCTGCTAACCAAAAGGTCAACTGTTCGAACCCACTGGTCCATGGGAAAAAGATGAGGCAATCTGCTTCCATAAAGATTTACAGCCTTGGAAACCCTATGGGAGCAGTTAGTTCTACTCTGTCCTTTAGGGTCACTAGGAGTCAGAATAGACTCAATGGTGTAAATTTAGGTTATAAATACATATACATATATATATATATACACACATTGTTTCATATCACAACATATTTTGTAGGACAAACTTCTCCCAAACTCTGCTTAAATCTTATTCCAAAATGAAGTGTTATGTTTTGCTTCTAATGACTGTTTACTTCATTTGCTTGTTCTTTTTCTCTTTGAAAAGCTATAAAAAGAAGAAGAGGATTCCACTGCTGAGAGAAATGTCAATGGAAAATGAATTCTCACTATGCTCTTCAGTGCCCTCACTTATAAAAATGCAAGCTGCTCCATGTTCCAGCCTGTTTCCTGTTTCTCACATTTGTTTTTCACTCTCTCTCCCTTTAGTTTAGCTGATGTGTAGTTTGTTCCCAATTGACTAATTCAGTTCTTGCTATTTCTACTAATTAGGAGCTCTGGGAGCGTATTGCCTGGTAGTGACTGTTAACCAGAGGGCTGGCAGTTCAAACCCACCAGCCACTCCTCAGAATGAAGATTGGACAATCTACTTCCTTAGTGATACTGCCTCAGAAACCCAAGGAGGGGTCACTATGAGTCAGATGCAACACAACAGCAGTGAAGTTTTTTTTTTTTTTTTTTTTCCTGCTAATTAGCTTTAATGTTTCTCCTTGTTGTTGCTGTCTAGTTGATTCTGATCCATGGTGACTGCATGTGTACAGAGCAAAACTACTCCACAGGGTTTTCAAGGGTATGAGTTTTTGGAAGCACATTGTCAGTTTTTTCTCCTGAGATGCCTCTGGGTGGGTTTGAATCCCCTTTTGACTAGTAGTCAAGTAATTCTTTGTGCCACTGAGGGATTTCCACCTCCTATAAAATAGATTTCCCCTATGAAGAATACTTCCCACTGAACAAGGGGTGAAGGAAAACAAAATTTACAAATACGTGGGTACTAAATATGGTCATAACAATGCAACATTATTGTATCAGTCTGGGTTCTGCAAGAAGCAGATGTCAAGATGGGATAAAATGTGCAATGAATTGTGTAGGGAAAAGCCTGTGAGGTAAAATGAGGAGTTAGGCAGTAGACGCTGGGAGAACCGCTAGAAGGAAGGTTGTGTAGAAGCATCCTAGACTACCATGTACTCTTAGGAACGTTAGACAAGATTGAATGGAAGTCCTCATGCTGAAGTCCATAATCAAAGAAGTCTTGTGTCTTCTGTAAATGGGCCTGTCTTCATGTTTCTTCTGCACTTAGTCACTGAAGGGGGATCTGAGTGGTTCATCTCTGTGTCTACCACAGACCCTGAGAATTTAGGAAACTATGAAAAATTCTACAACTATCAAGTGGCAAAGATTTCATACCAGATCTTTTGGGACTCAAAAAGTTTATGTCCCTCCCAATTCATAATTACTTTCCAAATATTAATTCAAGTCAGCTTTATCAGATTCACCTTGGGAACTTTAAAAAAATAGGGATATCTGGCCACCACCCTGTGAGATTCTGACTCATTGGGAATGGGGACTCAAGAATCTGTATTTTATCAAAAGTGCCCAGACTGGTTCTAAAGCACAATCATGTATTGAAATCATTGCTGTCAACAAAATTGGTGAGAAGATGACACCAAGTTGAAGAATAGAAACAATTTTAAATGCTGGATTATGTTTCTGGTAAACGCTGTGGAATGTCTGTTTGAGGGTTAAAAAAAAATCAGGATCAATGTTTGTCTCTCTGGGGTTGATGTTGTCTAATGTCAGTGGGAAGACCTCTCCTAGACCCTGTGTCCCATTTTTTGATTGCTGGTTCTCTGATCAGCCTGGTGGAACATATAGGAGAAGCAAACTGCTTCATATTTTATGAGGCAATTTCACCCATGAATGAATGGAAACAAATTCACTCTCAAAGTAACTCTTGAAATATTTGTAGAGTGAGTTTGAGGGTACCAAATTCTATTTTAATCTTTCGCCATAAAATTAGAGACAGATTTATGATTTTAATTGTCTAAAATATCATGAAATCTCTTTAGAGAATATCATGGGCACTTTATATCTGCATGTTTAAATGAAAATTATAACTTTCTGATCAAAGAGCACATGATTATGATAGAACAAGGACCAAGATAGAAGTCTAATAACTAGATGGAGTATAAACTAAAAAACAAATCGACTTGTTGCTGAGCTATCATACTTCTGAGCTAGATTTCTTCAAGTTCTTCTTTCCTAGAATAAAGACACAGGTCAGATTCTGAGGTAGGATTTTATCTACAGTGAGGATCTCTTACTGATTCCAACTGTGGAGGAGTGAAAGAGCCAGGTGTGCTGATAAAAGTAACAAAATGTATTTCTTAAGAAAATACCCCCATATTAAAGACTTTTTAAAAAGTTGCCACAGAGATGACTAATTCATAGTGCCCTTGTATCTGTCAGAGGACTGTCCTCTATAGGGTTTCAATTTTTATTTAGTTTTGTGTTGTGTGGGTATGTGTGTGGTAAAAGTATACAGACCAAAAGCACATGCCATTCAATAATTTCTACATGAACAATTCAGGAACATTGATTATATTCTTCAAGTGGTGCAACCATCTCAGTATCCTTTTCCAAATAATTTTACCATGATTAACATAAACTCACTGCCCCCTTAATTTCTCATCTAACCTTTCAAGTTACTATTGGCAATTTGATCACATACAGATAATTCTTTAAAAGAGAACAATGCACAAGGCAAACATTCTTTAGTAATTAGGCTAAATTATTGTTTAGTTAAAAGTTGACTTAATAGCTCCCCACAGTTTTAAATCTCGGAAGGAAGGTTGGGCAATCCTACTTCCGTAGTGATACTGCCTCGGAAACCCAAGGAGGGGTCGCTATGAGTCGGGGCCGACTCAACGGCACATAACAACAACAACAACAACACAGTTTTAAATGGCTGATCTTTTAGAAGTAGATTGCCAGGCTTTGTTCCAAGGTGCTGTTTGGTTGACTCAAAGTTCCAAGCTTTATGTTAGCTGCCAAGTGCATTAAACTGTTTGCCCCATTCAGGGACTCCTAACACACACATTAGATGTTACATAGGTTCCTCCCCAATTTTTTTTTTTTTTTTTTAATCTAAATAACATGGAATTTTTATATGGAAAAAGGAATCTTTAAGGAATTAATGAATCATAAAGCTGTTATGCTGAGATAAAATTACCATGACTTCTTTCAGATTTGGGAAAGTGTTCTGAACACTTTGGTTTATGATTTAACCCAAGGTTTTGACCTCTGGATCACTATGAAGGGATAATGAACCCTGCTTCAGCAGCCACAGGAAGTTTGCACCCCATCTTGAGCAGGGGAGAAGAAAGGAATTATGTATAAATACTTCCCAGAAAGAAGATGTTTATTTGAGGAATGGAAGTTCATAAGAAGATATGTAGAGTTGCTCTATATTACATTGTGTGGGTTGAAATGAATGAATGTTTAAGTCCCTAACACTAACAGCCAATGATATGAGGAAATTACAATACTGGTTGACTGTGAGCTCTTTAGAATCAGGGACAGTCACTCATTCATCTTTGTATCTCCAACCATAGCACATTGTCTTTTTGAATCCATGAATATATGACATCTGTTAAAATCATTCCAACCTTGGAAGAAAGTCATCAACCTTAGGGAAATACTTACAAAATCAACTTTCTTAATGACCACAAATGCCACAAATATCAATCTCTCACTTGGCTTGTCAAATATTGCTCAAATGTGATTATAAACTAAGCTAATTTTTTGCAAGTGGCTTTGGAGAAAACAGTCACGGGATGACTCTAAGCCTTCCGATTTGGAACTAATTCATTTTTTTCCCTTCCTGCTTCTATTCTACTTAATCCAGACAATAGCTGCAAGTATGTTGAAAATAGAAGTTTCCTTTAATTGATATTCAAGGTGTCATTTGGCTCAGAAATTTATTATTTAGAGAGAAAATGTAGGCAGTACTAGCAATGATCTTGTTCCACTGTTACTCATCTACAGTTTCAAGATAGGTCTTTTCCTCGTCTTTTTAGAAAGTGCTTCCTGTCACTCATTTTCTCCGTAACCTCAGATAAGTTGCCACTGGTTTAATGGCATTATCATCTTACAATGACAGGATGTTTTTGGGGAAAAATCTAAAAATTTTCAAACAAAGGAAGTTTCATTATCACAGGCTAAGAAAAGTGGGGAGAGTGTACATTTACCAGAGACTTCTACCATGAATTTCCTGACCTTTGTTTAATTAAACTCTTATCCTAAAGTTTGTGAAAATATAGATTTCTTTGAAGTTTGAAATTGTTCACTTCACTACACTTTGAATGGGAAAACTTCAAGGTGGGACAAAAGGGGAAGTAGAGCAGATGGACAACTTAAGGACAGAGCTGTTTTGCAGATCAGAGGTTTTGAAAGAAATAGTCAATTTGACGAGAAACAAAACACTAAACAGAATATCACATTGTCTTACTGTTCACTTTGTTTCACTAAATCATTTGGGCTCTTGCTACTGTCCTCTCCCACCTCCTTTCTCTTCCCTCTATTTGAGTTCTCAGATGCTGCTGAGGTAGGTAAACTGATTCAATTTTGAAGAACTTAGGGGAGGAAGGGAAGCCTTCTACTTTTTTTCCATCCCTCATATGCATACCAAATGAAGACATTGCCATCCATGCTTGGAATGGGAAAGTTGCTTTGGGTCCTCTTCCTAATCCTGTATCTGGGCATCTGCAGTATCTATGGTAAGACACCTCTTTGGATTATTTCTGGTTTTATTTCTCAGGGGGCATTGGAGACAATGTTTTCTCTTCTGAGCTCAGTAGGATGTAGGTGATGGTAGATGAAACCAAGTAGTTATGTTTGTTCGGTCAAGACATTAGAGGATGTGAACAAAATGAGAGCATGGCATTCACCTGTCTGAGTAGTAGGCATTTCATCCATAGTTTGGCTGATTTTCTTAAAAATGTATGGTGATGGTAAGAAAAGAGAAATGGGCACATGTTATAAGTCATTAAGTACAAATTTATCACTAACACTGGCAAAAATGCTCTAGCTGCCATACTGATGGTGAGAAAATAGCTTGTTCTTTCCTGAGTCCAGTAGAGAGCTGTGTGCTCAGTTAAGTAGGACAGTGCTGGATAACAGCATTACACCTTCCTCCATGTATACTCTCTAATTATGTCATCTCTAAATACCATCTAGCTACTTGCTTCAGTAAGAGATGTGTGAGTTGAGAAGACTGAGTGAGGAAAGACCAAGAAGTATAGGATCAAACATGCTGTCATTGCTCCTATTTTGTGGAAAGTGATTTGCGTCCATTTGGGTGTTGGTGCAAATGATTAATATGTTTCCTATGAAGTAAATAGGAAACAGCTGGGGCTCTGGCATAGATTACATTTGTTCACTCTGCAGAGATGCAGGTAAAAAACACATTTCCTTCATGGTGAAGTCACTTGCTCCCCTACATTTTCATGTTATTTTATTTGTTACATGCTCTCGAGTCGGACCTGACTCATAGTGACCCCTTTTTGGGTTTCCGAGGCAGTATCACTATGGAAGCAGATTGCCCAAACTTCCTTCCAAGGCTGGTGGGTTTGAACTCCCAGCCCTCTGGTTAGCAGTCAAGTGCCTTAGGCACTACACTACCAGAGCTCCTTACATCGTCACAGGTACCCACATATTGTGAAGAAGGAAGGCCTACAAATGCCCAGCAGAAGTTTCTGGTTTTCTCAGTTAACTGTGTTTTCATATTTTCTGCTTTAATGTGTTACAGGCATCCCTGAGTGGTGCAAGCATTTAATGTACTCAGCATTTTGGATCTAGTTCCAAAAAATCAGCCATTGAAAACACTATGGAGGACGTATATGAGATCAATATGAATCAGAATTGGACTCAATAGCAACTGGTTATTGTGACAACACATTCATGTGCTGCAGTTTTAAATGTGAAAATATGGTCACTGAGGTCCTGTGGAATGTTGTCTTCACTTCTGGAACTGTGTAGTTTGCAGTTTGTTTCCAGGATGCCTGACTGTCACACAACCAGGTGCAAAGTAAAAATTTTCTTCAATCAATTAAATACTTTTGTACTTGGAGTATTTGATAGCTGACCAAATTTTTCATTAGATGCTTATAGTCACATAGAAACAAGTGGAATAAAATATTATTAAACATAAAATATTATAAGAAATCTTCCTAAATATATTTTTTCTGTAAAATAATATGAAGTAAAGTAATTTGTAACACTGTCCTATTCTAGGGAGGGGCACAATTTCTATTTCTCTTCCCAGTGGTATAGCACAGTGATTACAAAATGGTCATGGGAGTTAGGATTGAGTTCTGTTTATTTCCACTTACTGTGTGACCTTGGTTAATGATTATTACCCTCTATTATCCTCCATTTCTTTATTTATAAATTAGAGATGTTGTTGTTATGTGCCATTGAGTCAGACCCGACCCATAGTGACCCCTCCTTGGGTTTCCAAGGCAGTGTCACTATGGAAGTAGATTGCTCCATCTTTCTTCTGAGGAGTGGCTGGTGGGTTTGAACCACCAGCCTTCTGGTTAGCAGTCAAGTGCCTTAGCCTCTATGCTACCAGAGCTCCCCATAAAGTAGAGATAATATTTATAAATTATTGGGCTATTGTGAAGATTATAAATGCAATGATATGGTTAAAATGCCTAACATAGTGACTGTATATGATAAATACTTGGTACATTTTAATGGTGGTTTTGCTAATAATATTTTCATCGAGAAACTCCCCAAAATTCAAGTTTTAATGTTATCATTTAAAACAGTTAAGCATTTAAGGCTAAAGTAAAATGAATAAAATAGATAATGCTATGAGTCGAAGGCCAACTTGATAGAAGTTAACAACTTTTCATGTGTGGGTATCTGTGTGTGAGTGTTTCGATAGGGAGCAGATGGCTAAAGACTTCTACCAGACAATATTCACAGAGAAGAACAACTTGGACCTGTTATTACATACAGTTTCTGTGTCTGTGATCTATATTACATTAAGTGTCATTTGTTAGGTAGATGTATGCGAATGTATTTTCATTTCATGGTAGGGACTAAAGCTCAGTTAGTATTTTTCATTTTACACCTAAGATTAAGTCTCAGGGTTTTCCTTAAAAGAAACAATGACCATCTTTTACAATAGGGGCTCTGATTTTAACATAACTCCGTGTGCACCATACTTATACAAATTTCCTCAGGTATTCTAGCATTTCTGGTACTATCTGACTTATAAAATCTGTTATTTTATCACAGAATTAAAGTAATAAGTTTAATCAATGCCACATAATACAAAATTACATTGATGGTTCTCTATGAGTTGTCCGTTGGTGGTGCAAATGATTAATATGATTTTCTACTAACCAAAAGTTTAGTGATTTGAGTCCACCAAGAGGTGCCTTGGAAGAAAGGCAATCTACTTTCAAAAAAATCAGCCAGTGAAAATCTTATGGAGTACAGTTCTACTCTGACATACATGAAGTCACAGCAGCTCGTTGGTTATATGAAGTGGAAAATTCCCATTCTAATCTTGGAAAAAAAAAAAAAAAGTCATGCAAAGAGTAGAACACTTGACTACTAACTGAAAGGTTGGCATCCAAACTCACCCAGAGGGACCTTGGAAGAAAGGCATGGTTATCTGTATGATAGGTCACAACCATGAAAACCCTCTAGAGAACAGTTCTACTCTGTTCCATATGGAGTCACTATGACCTTAAGCTTATGTCATCTTATTTCTGATTTTGTGCATAAATGTCAGCTGGTTTAAGATGGAATGTATTCAATCTGGACTTTCTGATGCTATGCATGTGAATCCCCAAGGCTATCTAGGTTGATGTCCTTCCAGGATCTCTGATGCTTGATTATGTAGTTACCATTGCTATGTATGGGTTTCCTTGATAAATTCAAGACACTGTCTCATGAGACGCTTAAACTCACACCAATTTGCAAAAGAAGAGGCACTTATTTCCTTTCCCTGACGATCATCATATCCTGCCTCTTCTCACTATGCCGGCCCTTTAATGTTAGCCAGAGCATACCACCACCATGTTCAAGAGCCTTTTTTTTTCTAAGTCTGAAGACCTTTCCTTCTGTAGATTCTCACAGCATGTGCCTAAAGTTTTTGGTTGTTTGTTTATTATACCATTTCTGACAGAAGTTGAACTTCTTGTTGATGTCACAGAACACTCATGGTATAGTTGACCTTTAGTTATAATTTTGGTATTTCAAAAATTATTTGTTTACTTTTCTTTGGTAAACTCTACTACTGTCTTAGCTCAGACTAAGGCAATCTATATCCATTACAGTGATTAAATTCTCTCAATGAATGTGGCCATCTTGAACCTTCTATAACTTTCTAAGAATTTTTCAGTGGAGAGATAGCAAAGTTCATTGGGACTTTTCTCACAATAATAGTTATGATCAGCCATGTGGTCTTTAAACATGAGAAATAATTATATGCCATAAAAGAATCATAAACATAAAGCTTTCAGAGCTCTGGTGGTGTAGTGATTAAGGCATTTGGCTGCTAACCAGAAGGCTGGCAGTTTGAACCCACCAGCCACTCCATGGAAGAAAGATTACAGTCTTTCTTCTGTAAAGATCTACAGCCTTGGAAACCTAATGGGGGTCACTATGGGTTGGAATCAACTCTATGGCAGTGGGTAATATACTTCAAAACATCGCTCATCTATTAGTTTGTGATACAGTGGTGGCTTGCATGTTGCTGTGATGCTGGAAGCTATGCCCTCCATATTTCAAATACCAGCAAGGTCACTCATGGTAGATAGGTTTCAGCAAAACTTCCAAACTAAGATAGACTAGGAAGAAGGAAGTGGTGATCCACATATCTTTCTTGGAGAAAGTACAGCTGGAATGCTCCTTAGAAGTTAGGATGGTGAGACGTCACCTCTCATATTTTGGACATGTTTTCAGAAGGGACCACTCCCTGGAGAAGGACATCATGCTTGCTAAAGTAGATAATCAGCAAAAAAGAAGTTCTTCAATGAGACGGATTGACACAGTGGCTACAAAAATAGTCTCAAGCATAGCAACGATTGTGAGGATGGCACAGGACTGGGCAGTGTTTCATTCATGAAGTTGCTATGAGTTGGAATCAACTTCATGGCACCTAACAACAACATAGTTTACAAATTAGCTCCCCTCTCCAGCTGAAGATGGTAGTTACACATGCAGCTACATTTGCTCAGCTCTATGGATCAGTCATGCAGTTGTTTGTGAGCAGCACTCCTTTCAGATTGGCTGGACTAAGTAGCTGGATTGGGCAGCTGGATGGCCAAAGAGTATCACTTGTTAAATATCTGAATTATCACTTTAGCATGAGCATAAATAAGGCCTTCTTACACTACATACTTTTAAGGTATAATTCTTTTTTAGTGGTTATAACTTAACCACTACAGAATATGTTGAAGCATGCTCTTCACTTCAAGGCCTTTTAGCCTGTCCACCTCTCAAAAGGTTTAACTGGGTATAATCTGCAGTGTTAGTGCACAGGAAGAATTAGTCCAGTTGTGAATCTTTCAAGAAGCTCTTCCTACTCAGTATGAGTGGGTAGCATGCCTTCTCATCTTCATGCCTTTGCTAGGGCCTACTCCTTCTGCAGTGACAGGTATCATACCATCAAAGAGTCACAGACAAGATAGGAAGACAGATGCATAAATAGATACTCAATTGTAATAGAGTGTGATGCATATCACACAAAAACAAC